GTGTAATTACTGGGGCTACTACAGCAGGAACTCGAGCTGAAATAACGCAACTTTGCTAGAATTTGGCATAAAGAAAACCGCTCTGTCCACCAAACTGCTGCTTAAATTCAACTGCTTGGCCTGTCAGAAATTGGTCTTTCTCCAACTCTCCCCCTCCTTTTCTCCCCAAAAAGGCAAACATCCCTTTAGAGAGGGGCGATCTGGGAGCTGACTGCATTGCTATCTTTTCTTTTGGAGGCCACCATTCTTCACTTGGCTATGATACTTAAAGGGCCAAAGTTTAAAACTACTCTCCCGCAATAGAGCCCATTTGGGCATGCCACCCTGCAGCAATCAGACGGAGTTTTAAAATGCTGCACATTTGTTTTTTCAATAGGTTCCAAACAAAAATGTTCTATCTTGTTTGTGCTGCATGGCTGAATTTAAGCTCTGCATAGGATTTGCAGCTAAGCTAAGTAATGGGAGAGGGTTTTCTTTTTCTCTTTTTTTTTTTCTCTCCTCTTTTTTTTTTTTTTTTTAAACATTGGCTGAAAGATATTCATTCAAATCAACAAAAGATGTATTTTTCCCCCATTTAACAATGCACTTGATGAAAATGTGTTACCTTTACTTTTCTATTTTTGAACATTTTCTGGTATTTTTATCACGCTCACCACCCAACGGTAAGCAGCACCGGGCCGCGCACAGCCACCATTTTAAGTTATGATAATCAGCATATCCTTGAAACAAAGATACACATATTTTTTTCAATACAGAATTCGATACAAGAGGTAATCTGGTCCTTTGTAGGCTAAAAAAAAAAAAAAAAAAAAAATCTGGTTTACGCTGGTTTGAACCAGTGGAATCTCTTGTGGCTAAGCCTTCTGCTGTGACTAAAATCAAAACTGCGCCGCAGAGAGCGGCTGAGGCTGTGTGTGTGTGTGCCCGTGTGCCGGCGAGGCGCACACCACGTGATGCAGAAAACTACCCAATTTTTTTTTTTTTTTTTTTTCTCTAAAAAGCTGATAACGCTACTTGCCGTCTCTGTCCGCATATAGATAACGAATAAATGCTGAACTCTATTAAACGCCCTTTACACATTATCGTGGGTCGAACACACAATTTTCTGAACTTATGATGACAGTCTATTTATTTTGCTATAAACCCTCGGCATGTAACGAACAGATTTGTGTCTGGTAATGATCTGCTCTGCCAGGGCTATATGAAATGATACCGACCTTCTTTAGATCTTGGGGAATTAAATTGACCAACTTCACCCCCTGGTCTGTAGCTGAAGTTTGACACACTTTATGCACAGCAAGCCCAAATCTAATATTATCAGAACTTTGTAGTCAGAAATTAAGTAGCCACAAAATATTTGTTCACCACAAATCACATACGCTGTGCGTGTGCATACGGACACGCAATTTACCCTAATGCAAATTTACTTCAACATATTAATGAACACAGCTGCAAAAGAGGAAGGGGTAGTATTATATCTCAAGAAAGTTGGTAATGTCATACTTGACTATTTTGGTTATTTATGATTTAGCCCAACATCCGCTTTCTAACAAGCATACAAATCACCACATGAAAACATTTCTGTGATTATTAAAGGGAAGCCACACCTGTAAGTACTGTATCATTGCATTGAAAAGCTCAAAACTTTCAAGGGATTTGACAATCATTGCTGGCCAGCATGACAAATAAGACTTCAAAGTAACAGAGCCCATTTAAGATCACTTCTGGAAAATAAGTAACAAGCCAATGCACACAGGCTTTAGGGGATGGGGTTTTTTGTTGTTGCTATTTCTTGATGGGAGAAGATTTGTCTCCTGATTCGGAATCTCCGCATATGCTTCACTTGAACATATTCACCAGATAAAATTCTGAGGTAATTAATGTACACTAAACAATGACTTTATTAAGCTTGATATTATTAACTTACTAAACAAAGATCCATTACTTTAAAAGAAGTTTTGATTAGCAGAATTGTATGATTCTTACAACTTCTTACAAGGAGTTTCTATAAACATTACTCTAATAAAATTGGTTATAACTTGGTAAAATCACTAAAAGCAAATGTATTCTAAGACACTGTCATCTACACACGATGACAGCTACTAATGGATAGCACAGAGGAAAAAAAAAAAAAAAAAGAAGTGGAAAGACCAATCATCATTAGCTAATTCTTCACTCTGATTTTGTACTTCAATCTTTCTTCTTGTGAGAATAACTGGAAACTCATACCTATGTATTTTGCCCTGTTCAGTACAGTTTTTAACTTGGCTGTAACTGCCTTTAAAACTCAACTAAAAACCAGAAGTTGAGTTAAAAAAAACAAATCAATTTGTTTATTTTTCCAGCAATGCCTCATGTAGTTCTAGATACTTCCATACCAGCCATTCTACATTATTTGTCTTCTCCTTCCATAAAAAACATGTAAATTTTTATCATGACAAAGACCATACTTTAAATATACTGCACATATCTGTTTCCCTTGGGTAACATCCAAGTGTAACCAGACATTCAGCATTTCTATTAGCAGATTTTACCAACATTTCTGAATTGCTATAGGAACAATTTTTTCTTCAATGATTCCTCCATCACAAGAGGATTGCCTCCTCTCACTTTGCAAAGTTTGCTGACTGAACTGGGGAACAAAGCCCATCATCTTTTAGTTTAACTAATTTAACTGAAACTATTTGAGAAGGAAAAATCCTCTAATAATAGTTTGAGGGTCAGAATATCTATATGCATTCCCAACAGACAAAATTAAAGCAAGAATTTGAGATGCCTTCCAATATTTTATATGGCTACAACTAATACTTGATCATACTTTCTTCATCTAGTCTAAGTCTATTAAAATAGTAATGAGTGACAATGCAGTAGAACTGGAGTTACTAATCTAGATATTTTGAGGTAACACGTTGCTGACTGTACAGTAATACCCAAGCCTGACACTGGATTTGGATAACTGCACATTCAGATAAGGTCAATATAAGGCTGAAGTTCGTGTACTATATGATTGTATCTGTAACTAAAAGCATGAAAGATAAGAACAAATATAAATCATGATATCTCATAAGAAAAAGTGTGTGGTTGATTATTGGAACAACGCAAGAAATGATATCTTTGTGATACATTGGCCTTCACATTATTAAAAGAACAGAAGTGTTTCCTTTATGATGATATTTCATAGTATCTTTCAAGGAAGAAAACAAAGAATTTCAGAACTTCCAAAGGTATGGGGGTAAGAATTTCAAGTTGGGTCATAAAAAATGAGCTTATTTACCTAACAGACTAAATAAAACACTAATAACCTAAAAAATTTTGTTCAATTTAAGAATTGGTCATTGGATGAAAAAAAAAAAATCATGTTGATAAATGTTTGTAATTATCATTTGATTCCTTGAGATGAGACCATGTTTCTTCCATCAGATTTCAAAAAGAAATCATAACTTGCAAAAAGTGCACGTGGACCAGTTATTTAACCATTCCTTAAAAAGTGAAAATAAAATATTTTATCTCTTCCCTACACATAAGATATTCTGTTAAAAGTGAAGCTTCTTATCACAATTGCCCTTTTATGTCTGAATTCACACATTTTTTTTTCTTGAAATGTAAAAATAGCAGCACCTTAAAAGAAATAAAATTAGAATTTTAACACTTCTATAGTACAGAGTTTAAGTTCATGACACACAGACCGTCAAACTCTTCCCTCAAATTCTCCTTTCTGCAAATTCATTATTTAGGGATAAAAAAAAAAAAGTCTTCCTATTATTTAAATTTTGGAACACTTTCTTGCTATATATAAAAATATAAATACCTTCTACATTTAACTCTAAACATAGATATTACATCTGCTATGCAATAAGTTCTCCAGATAAATTGTATCCTGTGTATAATTAATTAACATATGTATTACAGTCTCCCACAGAGTTTAACATTTACACAGCACTTTCAAAATACTGTATAACGCTGGGGCTTAAGGGGTCTATGCTTATCCATTTTATTAGAAAAAGTCTCCAAGTCTAACTTTTGTCTACCCTTACTGAGCTTATATATTAGATGGAAGATATAATAATTTCAGAACGCGGTTCTGCTCTCTTTCCTTACTTAATATTGAAGCAGTAAGTATTTTAAAAAGCTTTACTTTCAGTACAAAAATAATTAAAATTCTATCTTATCAGAAATGCTATTGAAGAAAACTTTCAACAAATTTCTCACTCAAAATGCACAATTTTGATTACAGCTGAACTGATTTTTCATAAAAGAAACATCCAGCTTTCAGACAGAGCTTGTCAAACAAGTTCAGCTCCAAAAGAAATATTAACAGCTGGGTCAAATTACTCTGAATATAAAGTTCCCTTTAGAAAGTAAGATCTTCACTGTAGTGTTCAAAGCAACATGAGTACAAGATATCATGAAAACCTGAGGATTATCATGCTTTCCATCATTAAGAGTTGGATAGCTCTCTGCATTCTAGCACAACATACATCATGAAAACATGCTTTCATAAGCACAACTTCTGTTTTTGGTATAGGAGAAAAAGTCTGTTTAGGGAAGGAATCATACAAGGAAACAAAGTGGTGTACAGCCTAAGTCTGAGAGTGTGTTTCCATTTGTTTTGCCTGCCAGTGTTGATTTAATTATACTGCATTATTATCAAAGCAGCATTATGTACTTTTTTTATTCCTTTTACATGTGTTTGAGGTGAAGACCTTGGCTTTGTCGGCAAACAGCGTGTTTCAAGTTATTTCTAAAGTACTAAATAATAAAGAAAAGAGAAGAAAAGATTTTTTTTAAGATAGCAGACAGTGATCACAAGTTAAAGGGTTAAATGTAAGATCTCCAAGAAACATTTTGAAGTTGATTAAGACCCCAGCTTTGCATTAAACAGTATCACTTCCACATGAGTTGTTGCTAATGCTGTTAAGGAGCAGCTTGAGAAGCCCAGTGTGCCAGTGACCTCCTTCACCCTCCAGCCACCCACTAGGGCTTCTTGATTAGCATCCTACCTGGTTCTCTGAGGAATTCCCGTCATCCCCTAGGAGCTCATTCCGCACCTCATCACTGTAGGCGATCCGTGACCTTTTCTGTAAAACAAAAAGAAAAAAGGGTTAGGAAGTAAAGCTCCAAAGCCATTGGTATCAAGACTGATCATCTTAAACCTCGAGAGCCCCCTAATGGATACCTATTTGATTTAAAAAACAAAAAACAAAAAAAAACACCCTGCAATTAAAAGTTATAAAAAAGTTCATCAACAGCTGTATTTTGATAAATCTGCATGGTAAAAGCTTACAATTTCTGAGAGTCACATCTTCAATATATTCCATTTCATTTAAATGAAAGCAGCTTAAATGAAGCTCAAGACAAATCATGTGTGACCCAAGTTCTAATAATCTAATAATAATATAAACTCGCATCAGAAGCATTTAAGGAACGTGTAGGAACAAAAGTAATTTTCCCAAGGAAGACTTGCTAGTAATACTGCAGTGATGCCATTGCATAGGAAAGGAGAATTCCTTTTCTATTTACCAAAAAACAGGAAGAAAAGAAAAAGACAAAGAACTATGAACAACAGACATTTGACAAAACTGGTTGAAATTACAGATGTAGAAAATGATCAACTTTTTCCTTTATTGCTAAGACCTCCACGGAAACCACCAGAAATCAAGTCGTAAAATACGGGTTAGGAAACCTCAGTACAAGGAAACACCAGCTTACAGTGGATCATGGGAACACCAAAACCTGCGATGGCCACTTATCAGTTCAGGTCACAGATCACAACTGATGAGCAACAGATTTTCTCAGGAGCCAATCTCTATATTAACTCTTAACTAGAGCAAGTGGTGAGCAACTGAGCAAATGACTGAAGATTACCATGGCAGCACAGCATTTAATGGACAAGTGGGAAAGTCCATAATAAGAACGTTAGTCCGGCTTTTAATTTCTCTGTCAGTTGATTACCAGACACCTAGCTAACACTCCTGCATTCACCACTGAAATAAAGTATTTTTAAGATATTGTATAAAATATTTTCATATTTGAGTGTGGGTATGATCAGTCTTACTCTCCATCATGGGAAGAAGTCCAGAGGCAGCCAGAACTGGGCTTCTGGGCTCTTTTTAGTTGTTGTAAGCTTCACTCCCACTCTACCATGGAAGTCACTACCAGTAGAAACTCAGCACAAAGAAATCCCCCCCTCAAACCTTCCCTAATCAGACAGTTGTGCTAAAAATTTCTGATTTCTGAGACCAAAGCACAGGAAACAACCCATTAGAAATGATACTGAGCACAGGGAAATTCATTATCTTTGTGACAAGGAAGTGGGGAAACAGAACATCTCTTCTACCAGGAAACTAGCAGTTGAGTAGTCTTGCATTGGTCATCTGAGAGCAACACATTTTAGCTTTTGATCTTGCATAGTTCATCCTTCATTACACCTTCACCACAACAATGCTTACCAGTTTGTGATTCAGTTGCTAGTGCTCAGATCTAGATTATATACTAAAGCTAACAGCTGTACCTAGCAAGGACAAAGCATACCATGGTCCAACTACAAGAGATGAATTATGCCAAATCTTTTGGAGATCTCAGCCGTCACAGTTTCATACTAACCAAGCTAAAAGTACTCTACAGCATTAAAGGAAATGAGAACCTTTAAACAGGCTGTGGTATCAGAGCTGCCTGTTTAAATTATTCATTTCATCACTATGGGGGACTAAAACACTCCACAGCATGTAAGAATATCATATGGAGATAGGTTTTGTTTTTCTCTTTTTTCACCAAAAAGCCAACAAATTGGCATAGATTGCTCAATTACATTATTTTCCTATTTTTATTTGATATACATCAAACAAGAAAGGAAATTACAAATATATACCAATAAATATCTACTCTTCTTTTCTGATTAAGATTCAGTCTCCCCACTTGAGGTCCAGTACCTCAACTGTACAGTCTCTGCCACTTCTATAAAATTACTCAGCCCAATTGATTCTGCTCCTGTTACATTTATTTGTCATTATTAGACTAAGATGTGGAGCATGATGCTTCATGAGCTTGTTCTCCAGTGAACAACTTGCCTAATTATATTGGAGACTGAGATGGTCCTTGGTTACACATCATTTATTTGAAAGATTTAAGTGGCTGATATTCTCATTCACAACAGACCGCATGAAGGAAAGGAAAAAGAATACTCTTCATGAGAAAGAAATAAATGGTAACAGCAATGCAGTTTCTAAAGGCCTTTTATAATCCTTTATATCAACGCGACTGAGCTTAATAAATATATTTGTATCATTGCTCCTTTATTGCAATAATCTGTCATGATCAGAAAATCAGCAATTATATTAAAAGAAATAACCCTTTGACTACAATTAGGTGTAACTCTTTGGAATAATCAATAAATAATTTGATATTACTTTTGATCACAGTTTCACTACTAAATGAATCAATAATATAAAAGGAAAAGCCTTTGAACTAAAGTGTTCATTTGTTCTTTCAGAATTTGCCCAAAATATCAATACATTCATATCTTCAATTACTATTCTTACTTTTATTAAGGTAACACTGGCAACACTTTCAAGCGTAGCTTTCAAAAATAGTGACAATGAAATTGTTCATCCAAACTTGGCAATAAAGTGAGCTTTAGATTTTTTTTTTAGTTCATAACTAACAGCTGTTTATAAATATGTACTTTAGCCAAATGCAAGAATGATAGTTTGAGCTGGAAATGTCACACACTGCTACAGTTTGAAGGAACCCAATTCATAATGCATTTTATAAATAGTTAATGACTTCTATACATAAGCTAACCAGGCAAATCAAGAAATTGTCAACATTTTTAGTCTTAGTTGTCAGTTACCACTGTCTACTGGTACTTTATATGTATGCTTCTAGAAAAGACAGAAGCTTTACAGAGTTTGTAATCCACAGCACTTCTGGGCAGCTCAGTATAGGTTATAGCTTCTATGTGCAGTTTTTCTTCTGTAAAAATCTGTCACACAGAGAAGTTTTCCTTGTATTTTGTATTTTCTTGTGTATACAAGCACCAGAAGCCTAAGCACACAAGCGCTTTTACCTCTGTCTACACATTCCCATTCAAAGCCAGCATGCACACGAACACACCACCACAAAAGGGTTAAGCTACTTTCTATAAAACTTCAAGACAGATAAAGTTTCAGGGACTGTTTTAAATGTACTACAGTATCCAGACCTTCTGACAAGGAAGAATTTCTGATTCCAGGCAGATCTCTCTTGGTTTATGAACAGGATTTTTGCATACTGATTGGGTGATTTTCTTAAAGCCCTGTTCAAACAGATACACTTGCTCAGTTCTGTCTGGCAATTTGGCTTTAAACAATCCGTCTACTTGACCCAAGCCTTAACATTTCCCAATAGAACTGAATGTGTTCATGGGCAAGCACAGCTAAATTAGAACTGAAATGAATTAACTCAGCTTAAACTAATTAAGAACTGTGATCTGCAGCACCACCCCCCTGTATGATTCTACATGTGAAGCAGGGTACATGTAACCAGACTGAGAATTCTGCTACACTACTAATCTGAGTGTAACAATGAAGTTCGTCTATTACTAAAGCATATGAGAAGTTAATTTCCACGGCCTACACATGGCAAAGCAATTGCTTAAATTGCCTCACCTGGGAATTTAATACAATGTTATCATCAGACCAGCCACACTGTAAATAGATTTATAATGCTTTCCATGTGCTAGGCTAGGTTGCATATGAATTAAGTAATGATCTGGTATTACAATACAATCAGCTAGTTCCCACACCTGGCAGACAGGATATTTTGCTAAATTACTACCTATACAGATACATCACAACATAAAAACAGAAAAGGCGATGGGAAGAGAAACAATCTACATGGTGTATGACCAATTTTTACACGGTAACCAAATAAGATGTAGATGGAAAGAGGTATCCAAAATAATCTGTTTCCAACATCTGTACAACACAGCGCATACTTATTCATTTCCATTCAATTTTGGCCTAATTTTCCGCATTCTATACTTTAATTACTCATCCATATTCTGAAATGTTCCCATTAGCGACGGCCACAACTAGCCAATGCCCCTTTACTCCAACACACTTTCAGCAATCAGGCAAATAATTGATATAAAGTGTATTTTCATACCTGAACTGAAGAATAGCATTCCTCCTAAATGCTAAGCAGCCCCCTGAGCAGACAACTAAACTGAGGTGCATTTCAGACAAAAGGCCCAACAAACCTCCCCATTTCTCAGCCTCAGTGTTTAAGAATGGATTAAAAAGACTTTTCTGTAAAAAGAGTAAACAAACAAAAGGGCTTATTTACCTACAAACATCTGTTTTCTTTAGAATTTCCTACTATATACACATGGTTTAAAAAAAAAAAATAATAATCTTCCAGCATTCATTTCAGAGTTTGGTCCTGTTCTAGATGTAAATAAATACATAAGATTAGAATAACCAGAAGTAATTCCTAGGAATGCATTATGCCACTGTATTTGGTTTTGTGCTCTTTGAGAGTGGTCACTTTTACCACTGCTTTTGTTAAAACAAGATGAAAAGTGACCTGGTCTCCAAAGGGACTGTGAGGTACTGCAGATTGTAGACCTTTACCTCACTGACGAGACACCTTAAGTAATTTTTGCTGGGCAGAAATGGAAAAGATAGTTTCAAAATTTAGAATAAAAGTAAGCTTGTCTAACAGTCTTAAAGCTTTTATTTGACCAACAACACAATAACACTTCTTCAGAAACAAAATAACTGAAATTGCTTAAAAACTGTGCTCAAATTTCTGTTTTCAAAACTTCTGTGTTTCTCTGTAAGGATGATACGGAAACAATAGATAAGACACTTCACGTTGACATTAGAAGGGTGTTCTCCTGTTCCTAAATAGCCAAGTTTTTATTCATGGCGGATAAGAAGCAGGAAACTGATTACGTAGAGTCAATATATGACACGATGTAATGCTGGAATTTTAAGCATTTCCTTATGGCTATAAAACAACAAATGTATTTCTGGCCTAAAGGAGGTAAACTATCTTGCAAAACTTATGAAACTTTTGACTGGAAGCATCAGTACAG